TTGCTGAGGAAGTGACAACTAGAAAACAAAGAGCTTTGTTCGGAAATGCGGCGATGCTATGACTTTGGGAATGTAGTACTCACCAAAGGTCATCCCAAATGCTGGCCGAATGCCGAGTGGGACGACAGAGCTAAGATGTATCCTCCACATTGATTGTGGGAGGATCCCGCCTATGCAAGAGGCATATGCACGAAGTCGTGGGTCTGGAAGCAAACACATCTTCAAGGTAGTGAGGGAAATTAAAAGCTACGGGAGCGGAATGCTACGGGAGCTATGCCAAGATGGCGTCTTAATGCTACGGGAGAAAAAGGCTACGGGAGCCATGCCAAGGGCATCTTAAGGCTACAGGAGCGATGTCAGAAGAGCACATTGATGTGCTAACCTGTGAAGGAAAGCTTCAGACAGATAAGAAGGCCGTGAGGGTCATGTTGTGATTGACTAGTGTGAGTCAATCACAAAGTGAGACACCCGAGGGTGCAAGTGCGGAGGCACTTTACATGTGAACACCGAAAGGAGGTGAAGTGCAGAGGCACGCTTGGAAGATACTTGGGGGAGAAGTGCATGGGGAACGACTCTTTTTGAGAAAGGACTTCGAGGAAGTCCAACCCACAGGACAAAGGGAGCTGAAATGGGCATACCTGAGAGGGCAGACTCCGGGATGTCTTAAGCCATGATGTGACCTATCATAGGGGCATCATGTGTCGACTTGTGAGCATGGCTTGGGTTCAACCATGCAAGCAAGGGTCTGTTGGCCTAAAGGTGCAGTTGTGGGGCGACACTGCACTATTCGGGATGGAAGTGTGTTGCGAGGGAAATGTATGGGCAGGGCACGAAAGACGCGCATGACAAAGGCAAAGGGCTAAAGGTTTCCTTACTCGGGCGAGGAACGAGCTAGTCGCGGATGCACTAGGTGAGTGTCAAGCTTAAGGATTGGGCTGTGCACGCGGGAGCGATGCTCAGTCTTGGGCGAGGGACAAGACATGTCCTAAGACAATCCCCCAGGGCGCGCATGGATTGAGATCCTATGATGAAGCGCCACGGCATGTGTAGGGCCAAAGGCCTAGGCATCTTACGAGCTGCATAAGTTGGGGCAAGCCTACGGGCAAGCCCCACCAACGGGCACAAGATTGTGCTTGGGAATCCCGGGATAGGAAACAGGCTGGCCTGCAGCGAGAGGAACTACAGGCGCCACACGAGCGAGCAGGTGCCGCTACCCAATGTAAGGATTTGGGCCCATGACATTGAGCCTCTCAAATCTCTCTAGTCTCTTCTTATCCTCATCACTCATAACAGGACCCACTTGGGCCTGAGCGACTGCATCCGGCTGGGCTGGTAGTACCCCCGGTGTTTGAGGTCCCTGCACAACTTGCTCTGAAGTACGGGCGGCAGGAGACTGAGTTCCTCCACCGGCCTAAGAAGTGGCTGGTACGCCCTGAACATATATCGCCTGAGAAAGGCTAGTGCAAACAGTCAATATCTGGGTGATGTGATGCCAAAATGCTATACTTTTGGCACATTACTCTCCTTATATTTTGTTGGTCTAATGATTTATTGTGCGCTATTTAAGCTAAATTGTGTTGTTTTATGTGTAGGAACATCGGAAGGAATCATCAAATAAAAATTGCACATAAAGAGGACAAAAATACAAGAAAAGAGCACAAAAGCATCAAGTATCCAAACCGTGCTATAGACCAGGCTTAGCACAGAGCTCGCCTAGCACAGTTTAGACTATGCTACAGAGCTCATCTAGAACGGTTTATTCTGCACTATAGATCTCGCCCAGTACAGTTTATACCGCGCTACAGAGCTCGCCCAGCAAGGTTTAGACCGCACTATAGACTAGGATTCGTGAGGTCTATAGCACGGTAATTAAACGTCGTGGGTTAAAAGACCCAAACTAGAAAATTAAACCTGGGGATTGACATAAATACTCCCCAAATGAGTTATTCTAGGGTTGGACATAACTTTGGAGAAGAAATAGGTTGTCAAGCACTGTGGAGCAAGAATCAAACGAGTTTTCCCCTCCTTTATCTCTTTACTTTGTAGTTTTATGTCTTTTAACATTATGTTGATTGTTGTTGCATTTATGAGTAGCTAAATTCTCTTATCTAAGGTTTGATGGAACCTATTGGAGGATGATTCTTTACTGCATTTAATATAAATTTGCCTTTAATTTTTCTCTACTTGTTCAACTACATTTTCATTGTTCTTAATTGAAGAGCTCTCAATTAACTGAGCCTATTTAGTGTATATATTACTCGAGAGAGAGTTCTCATTTAGGTAGTTGTTGAACAACATAACTCCTAACGTAGTTGAGAGATCGATACGGATGGTTTAAAGGCGGGATTAGAGATAACAAAGCCTTGGTGCGATTGTCGTGAATGGTACATTAGTGTCAGCTAGCGTAGTTCGAGAGAATACGTCTAATAAATTATAGTAGTTACTCGATAGAGATCTACGACACTTAAAGTACTCACGATCGGTAGAAAATATTTAGGCGAATTTATAAAAAACGTAGCGGGGAAGATTCCGGCAATAGGGAAAATCATAACCTTAGACTTTTCCAAATCTTGTCTACAATATTTACCTTGTTAGTTATAAATTACTACATTTTTAATTACTTTGATCTTAGTTAGTAAACTCTCAAATTGTTATATAATATTTCTGAAAGTTGATTACTTGAATTCGTGCAAAACTATTAGTTGTAATTAACACGTTATTTTCCTGTGGAATTCGACTTCGGACTTGTAAACCGAATTATATTTGCAACGACCTCTTAGTCCTTTTTATAAGGCATAGTTGGGCGTGATCAAATTTTGGCGTTGTTGCCGGGGAAGCGACAGTGTTACTAATTACAACTATAAGAATTTGTAGGATTATTAGTTTAGTCAATTTTATCCATTTTTATTCGTTATATTGAAATTTTAACGTTTGTGGTCTTATGTGTTATAGGTGTATGCCTATAAACTCTTCAAGAACTGGTGAATTGTTTGAAGCATTATCGGATCCTGAGAAAACTTTCAAGGCATTAAATATTTCAAACAAGAAAGACAAACAACATCATCACCTAAGAGAACAAATTGAACCAAACATAGGTGACACTTTGGATAATCAAAACAATAGAAACAATGTGAATGACCCGAACAATGAGGGTGTGACACCTCTTGTGCCAGAAGTAGCTTTGTATGATTGGGCATAACCTACTGCTGAAAATTTGACAACTGCAATTGCAGCCCCTCAGATACAAGCGGAGTCATTTAAAATCACAAAAAACATGCTACATTTGTTGCAAAACAAGGGACTGTTTTCCGGGTCTTACATTGAAGATCCACAACAACATCTGAAAAATTTTCTGTCAATTTGTGTCACGTAAAGACAGTCGAATATGACACCAGAAGCAATAAGACTGCTATTGTTTCCATTCCCAGTGACAGGAGAAGCCCAGACTTGGCTTAATTCGCTCCCCATAAATTTCATTACCACTTGGGAGGAATTAGTCAAGCAGTTTTTGAACAAGTTTTACCCACCAAATAAGACCGCCAAGCAAGTTGATGAAATATTGAGCTTCAGGAAGAAACCAGCTGAAACATTACAAGAAATATGAGAGAGGTTCAAAGGTATGCTGGTTAAGTGTCCATATCATGGCATTCCAGATCAGATGTTGGGACAACGATTTTACTAGGGATTGGCGGATAATTTGAAGGCCAATGTTGATGCTTCAGCAAGTGGAGCATTTTTGAGCAAGTCATTTAGAGAATGTAAAGTCATGCTAGATAAAATGGCTCAAAACTCAGGCTGGATGACAAGATACACTACAATCACCCTTATAGTTCACTCAGTAGCATTGGACCCAAACAATTCCATAATCGAGAACATACTTACTCTGATGACACAAATGAATATCCTCACCAAGAATATTGATGAATCAGGCCAGAAGCAGGTACACATAGTTGACATGACTAAAGGGGAATTATGTACACCATGCATTAACCAACCATACGTGTGTTCATGGAGTGGTGAAAGTAACAACTAGAACTATCAAGAGAACATGAACTATGTGGGAAACTATGGAGGCCAGAGGAAAGGTGGTCAGAATTGGGGGAAGCAAAATCAACAATATAGACTAGCACATCAACAATACAATAACACCAACAATCCTGGAGCTATGCAACCACAGGGTCAAGTAGTACATTACTAAAGGCAACCTGGGTACAGTCAGCATAATCAACAGTTAGTTATCAACAACCTTAACAACAACAGCTAGTGAGACAAGATGATGGGTTGTCTGAAATTAAAGGAATGTTGCAGCAACTGATTGGATCTAATGGAAAATTGCAAGAGAAGGTGGAAGTACATGAGTTAGCGATAAAAGGTATTGAGATTCAATTAAGGAAAATATCTATGGCTCTGAATAATCGTCCCCATGGGACTTTACCTGCAGACACACATGTCAATCCGAAGGAGCAGGGACCGAATCAACTTATGGCGGTGAGCCTGAGAAATGGTAGAGATCTTGATTTAGAGCAGGAAATTGCTCGTGAGAGCCAGTCATCTGAAACACTTTTGACAGTGCCAATCGAGTTTGATGAGTCAACTAAGCTAACAGAAGTAAGAGTGTAACCAGCCTATGAGGAAATTAACAAAGAACAAAAGGTTGTGGAGGAGACTGATAAAGTGCAGGAGAAGGCATTAGAAAAAGTGCCTGAGCAGGATCTAACTCAAGCTACAACAAAGAAGCGACCTCTGGCACCCTTACCGCAGAGGTTGGCCAAATATCAGAAGGATGAACAGCACAAAAAAAATTCATGGAAATGCTACCTTAGGAAAATTCATGGCAAATGACTTCCCTAGGATCAAATATATCCAGATTACAGGTTAACAGTTGAGGCCCTAAACCTAGTCCAAGCATCCAGATTAATATTAGGACAAAGCGCCCGTTTAATGCATATACCAACCATACTCAAAGCTATAGACATGTATCTACCGTGGAAACTCAATAATCATTTAAAAAGCAGCAGAATATCTGTATTAATCAAAGTTTCTGCAAACATACACTTGATACATACCGTGCCTTTGATCTTCTCTACATCTTCCATAATTTCTCTGAAACTGAAACCAGTCCAGTCCTGCAATTTGGCACGGAGCACAAGCATTCAGTCCTATGAATCAGCAGTGCGTGCAGATTCTTTCCCCTTCTCTCACCTTACCATTTTACTATCTTATACATAGCCTCTATTGGTACTTTTACCTTCGGTGTGTTAAAGTCAAGAAGCTCAATTTCCCACTGCACGTAAGCACCTTCAGGAACATTAGCTGGCCTGAGCACATGAAAAATGAATTATAAAATGCTATGATTAGCGGGGAATTCTCATCAGAAAAGACGTGTTCGTGATGATCAGAATTCAAATTGAGAGCACCAAGAAAAGGCAAAAGTACAAGCCCAAGTTTTCTACCTCCTAACCTTTCAAATTTGTCATAAGCATAATCAGGCGGCCATGTTACGAGAGCTATCTCTCCAGGCAACATCAAACGAACACACATTTCAAACCCTTGAGGTACCTAGATGTTGAAAATAAAGAACTTAGTCATACAAACTGGAAGAATTAAAATCAAAAGAATGTTTAACTCCTAGATACAGTATCCTTGTAAGCAAGCTATACTGACAATGGTGAAATAAAAAGACAAACAAAAACAAGGAATAGATCATGTTATGAGGTCAAATGACTTACAAGCCCTTCTCCAGAGCTGAACTCCAAAGGCTGACCATTGTTATTGAATTTTGTATCGAAGAACACCGTCTTTTCTTCATTAAGAAGCAAGCCTTTGTAGTGTACACGCAGTAGACTGTCTTGCAGAGGGCAATCCATAGGAAATTCACCTAATTATTTCATAAAAGTGCGAATGCTTTTTTCAGTTAATATTAACCCTACCGTATAAACGCAACAGGTGTTCATGGCATTGGAATCAAAAGGACATCTAACACCTCCATCAATAGGAACATCTTAAATACAAGAGTGAAGACAATAACTGTCGACTCCATACAGAAACCAAGCAAAACTATTATCATATCTTACCATGAATACAGTTAATATCCTATAACAAAGTCCCATAAAAGAACGACCTTGGTGCCTAAATAAGAACGTTTACACCTAGATTAGTCATGGACCTTTTGTCTGTCAGTAAGTGTTGACCACTAATTAAGGAGTCGTAGGATAGATTAGCGGCAGTCAGACACTATAGTAGATAAGTTATAAGTATCATGCAATATAATTTAAAATAAGATGGACCAGAAGGAGTGGGAAAACTCTTTCTGGGTTTTGTAAATCAACATCCAAGTGTTTTCACCTCACTGGACATCTATTCCTCCCAATCATTAAGATAATTGTCGTCTTAAAAGAATTGGCAAATTTGAGGTTACGTCAGATTCAATTGCATTTACCCAAAAGGGAAATAATTAAGCAAATGATGTAAGTAAATAAATGAGCTATAGTTTCTCAAAATAGTCAATCATAAATACTGCAGTTTAACAGTTGAGAAAGATAACCAATTCATGAAAAGGACATAAATTTAGGGAAGTAAATGCCGTGTGAAACAAGGGAATAAGATGAATCACCATGTGGATAACAAATAGACTGTACTGTAGGTCTCAGATAAGCTGTTTGATTCTGATATAAATACTATTAAAACCCAAAAATAGAATAGCTCAATTGTCTTATGTCACTCGGATATATTATACAGTACTTGACAGATCATAGAGATGAGGGGTGCTGAAGAGGTAACAATATATAAGCTCAAAGTCGCGTGTGGAACTTAAGTCTCAACGGTACCTCTTCCATCACGAATTCGGCATTTTATGAGGCGTCCATCGCCAAGCACATCTCGCACCTGCGTCAACAATACCCGCATTTAGATTTTCAAAGCAGAAAAGCAGTAAAAGATAAATCGAGCAGACTTCTTCCTTGCCCATAAAATGTAAATCGCACTGAAGTTAAAAGTCTGCGCCACTTTTCCAAATTAAAAAGCAAATGCATAAAACACAATCAACCAAACAAATCATACCTCAATACTAATCAGTTCGACTCAGCCATACAAATCTCATATTCATTCTCGCTTTATTCAGACCTGTTTCGTTCCAACACTAAGTAATTTGTTTCTTACAGGAATTAGGAGTTCATTAATACTATATGTTCCCTAGATCTCTCACTTACCTTAGACATATTCCAACTAGATTGAAAAAGATGCCTGATTAACGCCAGATCTAATCTAAGTGTAATAATAACAACTAAGTCTTAATTCCAACTAGTTGATATCACATATATGGATCCTTTGCTTCCATTGTATTTTTTCTCTGGTTAACTTTACCCATCATTCCACAAATGAGTCACTACCCCCAAGAAGCCCAAAAATCTGAAACAAATATGAGAAACCAAAATTACACTAATTTGTGCTCCATGGAACCTACACACCACACCAGTGCTCTGAAGAAACAAGTTCCTTTCTTTGGCCTCAAGCATATTAGTCAACAATGGAGACACATAGACGTTTATGTTTACACTTGTGGTTATCTTTGCACCCATCCTTATGAAAGTGGAATTCAAGCATGAGATTATAAAAAAATGGTAAAGTAGTTACAATTATAATGAAATACTTCCTACCAATAGAGAAATTATATCAAGCACAAGCAAAGGCGGATCCAGGATATAAACTCTATGGGTTCAATTTTTAAATTTTTTGCATTGAACACATTATACTTTTAAAGTTATGGGTTCATCTCTACTATTTTTAAAATTTTAATGAATTTTACATATAAAAATTTACTCAGCGTCGAAAGTTATGGGTTCAATTGAACCCGGTGAGTATATGCTACATCCGCCCCTAAGCACAAGACAAAAGATCATGATTACATTCAGAGGAATACACCAAATTATAGTGGTGAGGCTAAACAAACACCAAATTGAAAGACTGAACTCATTAAACATGTAACTGCGAGTTACTGAGTGAAATGGGAATATCATTGAAGACCTATGTTACACTGACTTGAGTATTGGTATGTATCAGGGTATAGGTTACAGGTGTGTATACAACACCTACATGTCCTCAGAGTATGGTCATTGATTCTGATGTAGCTTGATGACTGAGTGAGGCTGAGGGCCTGATTGATTCTGATATTGATACTGATTTATGATAGCGCTTGGGCTGAAGGATCCCCTCGGGAGTCTGTAACACATCCCCAGTGAGCGCGGATAATATTATTGATGGATGGATTTCCCTGGACATGGATTTATCCGAAGTACTTACTACCTGGAGATGGATTTTTCCACACGGTTGGATTGCCCTTTTTTCCTCGGTACTGGGTGACTTATAGTCACTGTTGTATATGTTCTGGGATGTATTTCCCTGGGCCGTATAGGCCATATACAGTACCGAGTGGTTGAGCATGATGAGTGGAAAGTGTGAGACAGTGAGATTGAGTACTCTTAGAGTGTGAGTACATAATTCATCTCTGAGATACATTACATTGACATGCACACATGACATACATGCATCGAGATGTACTTTCCTCATGTTGTATGGTATTACATCATTCATGAGTTTCTCACACATGTTGTCAGATGGGCATAGTGATGCATTTGTTTTACACTGGTTATCTGGAAAGAAAATAAAATATCTTATTTATTATTATTGAAAGGATTTTTGGAAAAAATTATTGTTTTCAAACTTATTCATATTTTTGGCAACTTCGGTAAATGATTTGGGTTTCAATGATGTACTTGAAAAGGGCAGAACTATTTTTGGAAATCATGATTTTGCTGTGCATCTTATCTCTGAGTTACTTCTTGTATTATTTGCTTTATGTTGTTATGAACTATTCTTGGTATTTGGTGGTGGACACGACCTTGGTATAAGCTCGTCACTACTTTCAACCTAAGGCTAGGTTTGTTACTTACTCAGTATATGGGGTCGGTTGTACTGATACTACACTTCTGCATATTACGTGCAAATGTTGGTTGTTATTGTTGCTGTGCTCGATGGTTGCCGGATTCGAAGATGTACCTGCGTTCCGGTTGTAGCTGCCTCTTGTTCATGGTAGCCTTAGATTTATAACAATCTATTCATGTACATTTCGGACATATGATGTATTATTTCATATCAGTTTTGTAAATTCTATTCTTAGAAGCTCATGATTTGTACTACCAGTTCATGGGAAAATGTATAAGATTAAGACCTTTATTTACTTAAATTGCTTTAATAATTATTATTGGAATTGGGTAGTTGAAAGTTGACTTACCTAGCGGGTTGAGTTAGGTTCCATCACGACTAGTTGGATTTTGAGTCATGACAAGAGTCTACTATAGTTAGTGTCAAATGCCAATACAAGAGAGAAAAGATAATACGAAAGGAGAAACAAGGATTACAGATGCCGGCAGCTACCTCATAAGTCTCTGATAATCAGCTCGCGCACGAACTCAACGACCATCATAACCGTACACACCTGGATCTGCACATGAAGTGCATGGAGTAGCATCAGTACAACCAACTCAGCAAGTAACATAATTAAATAAGGAACTGAGAAGAAATGACAAGCTATAAAAAAATACAGATCATTTCAAAGGTTTTTAGTAAAGGATGAACATGCTTTCAAATCCGGTGGTATAAGTCAAATCAGTTCGAGCTCAAGTGAAACAGATATGAATCTTCCAGAAATTTCACAACCACAATAGATAACAACTAAGTGCAACAATAAATAAAAGCACGTACATCCTCTCAAGACAGCAGTCACTCAACTCATCTCAACAGTTCATACTCTCGGCTCTCAGCCCTCAATACACACTTTCAATAGGTACATGCACTCACTTGGGGTATGCAGACTCCAGAGGGGCTGGTTGCCTGAGGGCATTGCCAAGGTGAGGAATCGAATTTGAGGGTATAGTGAAGCTTCGGAATTGGGCGAGTTTCCAAGTTAGAAGGTGTCATCATTCTGGAAAGGAGTATGTCAAATTATTAGGGACCGTGAGTGTCCAGGTGCGAGGCACACCGAACTGGGAAGCCGTGCTAGCAGGACCAAGAGGGTGCATGTCTATAGGGCGAGTATTGAAGTACTACCGGGAGCATTGGCTACTTGCTGAGGAAGTGACAACTAGAAAACAAAGAGCTTTGTTCGGAAATGCGGCGATGCTATGACTTTGGGAATGTAGTACTCACCAAAGGTCATCCCAAATGCTGGCCGAATGCCGAGTGGGACGACAGAGCTAAGATGTATCCTNTTGGGAATATAGTACTCACCAAAGGTCATCCCAAGTGCTGGCTGAATGCCAAGTGGGATGACATCGATAAGATGTATCCTGCACATTGAGTATGGAAGGATCCCGCCTATGCAAGAGGCATATGGGTGAAGTCGTGGGACTGGAAGCGAACACATCTTCAAGGTAGTGAGGGAAATTAAAAGCTACGGGAGCGGAATGCTACGGGACCTATGCCAAGAGGGCGTCTTAATGCTATGGGAGCAAAAGGCTACGGGAGCCATGCCAAGGGCATCTTAAGGCTACGGGAGCGGCATCAGAAGAGCACATTGATGTGCTAACCTGTGAAGGAAATCTTTAGACGGACATGAAGACCGTGAGGGTCATGGTGTGATTGACTAGTGTGAGTCAATCACAAAGTGAGACACCACAGGGTGGAAGTGCGGAGGCACTTTCCAAGTGAACACCGAAATGAGGTGAAGTGCAGAGGCACGCTTGGAAGATACTTGGGGGAGAAGTGCATGGGGAACAACTCCTTTTGAGAAAGGACTTCGAGGAAGTCCAACCCACAAGACAAAGGGAGCTGAAATGAGCATACCTGAGAGGGCAGACTCCGGGATGTCTTAAGCCATGATGTGTCATCAGGGAAGATGACATTATGAGTATGGGAGGATGTCACAACTCGCACTTTGGAGTTCTGATTTTGGCCAAGAACTGGTGAGAAAAGGTCCTTCTAATGGTGTGACGTAGAACTGTCTACTCGGGCAACTTGGGCTTTTTAATTGTAAGCATATATAAGGGGGGTATAGGTGATGAAAGCTCCGACCTGCCTCCCACATACGTGCTGCCACCAAGCCATATCGAACGAGCTACCTTGGGGGAAACCTCAAAGGCCTGCCTAGATGACTTAAAGGAGTGCCAAAGGTATCCATACGAGTTTGGGAACTCGTATGAACGTTGCAACGCCTTCGGGCTAGCATTGGGCATCAAAGTGGTGCTGGAGGCTCGATGTGTGGGATGGCCAGCCCCGCGGGCTGCCGAATGTTGGAACGAGACCTCCGTGCCGATTGGATACTTAACGCACCTATCATAGGGCCATCATGTGTCGACTTGTGAGCATCGCTTGGGTTCAACCATGCAAGCAAGGGTCCATTGGCCTAAAGGTGCAGTTGTGGGGCGACACTGCACTATTCGGGATGAAAGCGTGTCGCGAGGGCAATGTATGGGCATGGCACGAAAGACGCGCATGCCAATGGCCAAGGGCTAAAGGTTGCCTTACTCAGGCGAGGAAAGAGCTAGTCGCGGATGCACTAGGCGAGTGTCAAGCTTGAGGATTGGGCTGTGCACGCTGGAGCGATGCTGAGTCTTGGGCGAGGGACAAGACATGTCCTAAGCCAATCCCCCAGGGCGCACATGGATTGTGATCCTAAGATGAAGCGCCACGACATGTGTAGGGCCAAGGGCCTAGGCATCTTACGGGCTGCACAAGTTGGGGTGAGCCTATGGGCAAGCCTCACCGACAGGCACAAGATTATGCTTGGGAATCCTGGGATAGGAAACAGGCTGGCCTGCAGCGAGGGGAACTTCAGGCGCCGCACGGGCGAGCAGGTGCCGCTACCCAATGTAAGGATTTGGGCCCATGACATTGAGCCTCTCAAATCTCTCTAGTCTTTTCTTCTTATCATCACTCATAATAGGACCCACTTGGGCCTGAGCGACCGCATCCGGTTGGGCTGGTAGTACCCCCGGTGTTTGAGGTCCCTGCACCACCTGCTCTGAAGTATGGGCGGCAGGAGACTGAGTTCCTCCACTGGACTAAGAAGTGGATGGTACGCCCTGAACATATATCGCCTGAGCAAGGCTAGTGCAAACAGTCAATATCTGGGTGATGTGATGCCAAAATGCTATACTTTTAGCACATTACTCTCCTTATATTTTGTTGGTCTAATGATTTATTGTGCACTATTTAAGCTAAATTGTGTTGTTTTATGTGTAGGAACATCGGAAGGAATCATCAAATGAAAATTGCACAAAAAGAGGACAAAAATACAAGAAAAGAGCACAAAAGCATCAAGTATCCAAACCGTGCTATAGACCAGGCTTAGCACAGAGCTCGCCTAGCACGGTTTAGACCATGCTACATAGCTCATCTAGAACGGTTTATTCTGCACTACAGATCTCGCCCATCACGGTTTATACCGCGCTACAGAGCTCACCCAGCAAGGTTTAGACCGCACTATAGACTAGGATTCGTGAGGTCTATAGCACGGTAATTAAACGTCGTGGATTAAAAGACCCAAACCAGAAAATTAAACCTGGGGATTGACATAAATACTCCCCAAATGAGTTATTCTAGGGTTGGACATAACTTTGGAGAAGAAATAGGTTGTCAAGCACTGTGGAGCAAGAATCAAACGAGTTTTCCCCTCCTTTATCTCTTTACTTTGTAGTTTTATGTCTTTTAACATTATGTTGATTGTTGTTGTATTTATGAGTAGCTAAATTCTCTTATCTAAGGTTTGATGGAACCTATTGGAGGATGATTCTTTACTGCATTTAATATAAATTTGTCTTTAATATTTCTCTACTTGTTCAACTACATTTTCATTGTTCTTAATTGAAGAGCTCTCAATTAACTGAGCCTATTTAGTGTATATATTACTCGAGAGAGAGTTCTCATTTAGGTAGTTGTTGAACAACATCACTCCTTACGTAGTTGAGAGATCGATACGGATGGTTTAAAGGCGGGATTTGATATAACAAAGCCTTGGTGCGATCGTCGTGAGTGGTATATTAGTGTCAGCTAGCGTAGTTCGAGAGCATACGTCTAGCAAATTATAGTAGTTACTCGATAGAGATCTACGACACTTAAAGTACTCACGATAGGTAGAAAATATTTAGGCGAATTTATAAAAAACGTAGCGGGGAAGATTCCGGCAATAGGGGAAATCATAACCTTAGACTTTTCCAAATCTTGTCTACAATATTTACCTTGTTAGTTATAAATTACTACATTTTTAATTACTTTGATCTTAGTTAGTAAACTCTCAAATTGTTATATAATATTTTTGAAAGTTGATTACTTGAATTCGTGCAAAACTATTAGTTGTAATTAACACGTTATTTCCCTGTGGAATTCGACTCTGGACTTGTAAACCGAATTATATTTGCAACGACCTCTTAGTCCTTTTTATAAGGCATAGTTGGGCGTGATCAAATTTTGGCGCTGTTGCTGGGGAAGCGACAGTGTTACTAATTACAACTATAAGAATTTGTAGGATTATTAGTTTAGTCAATTTTGTCCATTTTTATTCGTTATATTGAAATTTTAACGTTTGTGGTCTTATGTGTTATAGGTGTATGCCTATAAACTCTTCAAGAACTGGTGAATTGTTTGAAGCATTACTGGATTCTGAGAAAACTTTCAAGGCATTAAATATTTCAAACAAGAAAGACAAACAACATCATCACCCAAGAGAACAAATTGAACCAAACATGGGTGACACTTTGGATAATCAAAACAATAGAAACAATTGGAATGACCCGAACAATGAGGGTGTGACACCTTTTGTGCCAGAAGTAGCTTTGTATGATTGGGCACAACCTACTGCTGAAAATTTGACAACTGCAATTGCAGCCCCTCAGATACAAGCGGAGTCATTTAAAATCACAAAAAACATGCTACATTTGCTGCAAAACAAGGGACTGTTTTCCGGGTCTTACATTGAAGATCCACAACAACATCTGAAAAATTTTCTGTCAATTTGTGTCACGCAAAGACAATCGAATATGACACCACAAGCAATAAGACTGCTATTGTTTCCATTCTCAGTGACAGGAGAAGCCTAGACTTAGCTTAATTCGCTCCCCATAAATTTCATTATTACTTGGGAGGAATTAGTCAAGCAGTTTTTGAACAAGTTTTACCCACCAAATAAGACCGCCAAGCAAGTTGATGAAATATTGAGCTTCAGGAAGAAACCAGCTGAAACATTACAAGAAATATGGGAGAGGTTTAAAGGTATGCTGGTTAAGTGTCCACATCATGGCGTTCCAGATCAGATGTTGGGACAACGATTTTACTAGGGATTGGCAGATAATTTGATGGCCAATATTGATGCTTCAGCAGGTGGAGCATTTTTGAGCAAGTCATTTAGAGAATGTAAAGTCATGCTAGATAAAATGGCTCAAAACTCAGGCTGGATGACAAGAGACACTACAATCACCCCTATAGTTCACTCAGTAGCATTGGACCCAAACAATTCCATAATCGAGAATATGGCTACTCTGATGACACAAATGAATATCCTCAGCAAGAAGATTGATGAATCAGGCCTGAAGCAGGTACACATAGTTGACATGACTAAAAGGGATTATGTACACCATGCATTAACCAACCATACGTGTGTTCATGGAGTGGTGAAAGTGACAACCAGAACTATCAAGAGAACATGAACTATGTGGGAAACTATGGAGGCCAGAGGAAAGGTGGTCAGAATTGGGGGAAGCAAAATCAACAATATAGACCAGCACATCAACAATACAATAACACCAACAATCCTGGAGCTATGCAACCACAGGGTCAAGTAGTACATTACTAAAGGCAACATGGGTACAGTCAGCATAATCAACAGATAGTTATCAACAACCTTAACAACAACAGCTAGTGAGAGAAGATGATGGGTTATCTAAAATTAAAGGAATGTTGCAGCAACTGATTGGGTCTAATGGAAAAATGCAAGAGAAGGTGGAAGTACATGAGTTAGCGATAAAAGGTATTGAGATTCAATTAAGGCAAATATCTATGGCTCTGAATAATCGTCCCCAAGGGACTTTACCTGCAGACACACATGTCAATCCGAAGGAGCAGGGACCGAATCAACTTATGGCGGTGAGCCTGAGAAATGGTAGAGATCTTGATTTAGAGCAGGAAATTGCTCGTGAGAGCCAGTCATCTGAAACACTTTTGACAGTGCCAATCGAGTTTGATGAGTCAACTGAGCTAACAGAAGTAAGAGTGTAACCAGCCCATGAGGAAATAAACAAAGAAAAAAGGGTTGTGGAGGAGACTGATAAAGTGCAGGAGAAGGCATTAGAAAAAGTGCCTGAGCAGGATCTAACTCAAGCTACAACAAAGAAGCGACCTCTGGCACCCTTACCGCGGAGGTTGGCCAAATATCAGAAGGATGAACAGCACACGAAAAATTCATGGAAATGCTGAAGCAAATTCAGGTAAACATTCCTCTAATTGATGCTTTGAGGGAGATGCCCGGTTATGCAAAAATGATGAAGGACTTGATGTCTCGTAAGTTAGACTTCCAAGACTTGGCAACTGTCATGTTGACACAAACTTATAGTGTTGTTGTGTCAAGACCTATTGCTGAGAAGTTATCTGACCCCTGAAGCTTCACAATTCCATGCACCATAGGTAGCTATGCATTTGCCAAAGCTTTGTGTGATTTGGGAGCAAGTATAAATCTTATGCCATTGTCTATCTATAAAAGGCTAGGCATTGGAAGAGCAAGGCCCACATCCATGTTACTGCAGCTAGCTGACCGAACGATAAAAAGGCCCTCATGTATACATGACGTTGTACTTGTGCAAGTTGGAAAATTCGTGTTTCCAGTAGATTTTGTCATTTTGGACTGCAAGGTTGATGAGGAGATCCCCATAATTTTGGGAAGTCCATTTTTAGCCACAGGGAGAGCTCTGATTGATTGTGAAACGGGGAGCTGAAAATGAGGCTGAATAATAAAAAAATAACATTTAATGTGTAGAAGTCTATGCGGCAACCCAGTGAGTTTGCAAATTGCTCTTTGTTAGACACAGTGGATGTAATCATGGATGAAGATGATGAGGCACTTAATGCAAAAGCCCTCTAACAGCCTGCCTTATGAACTTAAAAGAAGTAAATGGTGAGGACTTAGCGGAATGGGTGTTGGCTCTTCAAGGGCAAGGGTATTGGAAAAGAGAGCTCAAATTCGAGCCTTTACACTCAGAAGAAATAAAGACCCCTCCATCCAAGCCATAGATCGAAGCACCACTACAATTGGAGCTGAAACCACTACCATCTCACCTCAGGTATGCTTTCTTGGGACCTAATTCGACTTTACCTGTTATTATCTCATCTGGTTTGTTAGATGTGCAGGTAGAACAACTTTTGCAGGTGTTGAAGGAGTGCAAGAATGCAATTGGTTGGACCATTGCAGACATTAAGGGTATCAGCCCGGCCTTCTGTATGCATAAAATTCTATTGGAAGATGGGCACAATTCCTCTAGAGAACATCAAATAAGGTTGAACACTAACATGAAGGAAGTTGTAAAGAAAGAAGTGATCAAATGGTTAGATGCGGGAATTATTTTTCCCATCTTAGATAGCAATTGGGTTAGCCCAGTTCAGTGTGTGCCAAAGAATGGCGAGATGACTGTTGTGCAGAATGAGAACAATGAGTTAATCTTAACAAGAATAGTCACGGGATTGCGGATTGACATGGACTACAGAAGATTGAACAAGGCCATCCGAAAAGATTATTTCCCAATGCCGTTCAATGATCAGATGCTAGATAGATTGGCAGGGAAGTCACACTTTTGCTTCTTGGATGGATGCTCGGTGTACAATCAAATATCTATCGCCCCGGAGGATAGAGAGAAAACGTCATTCACATGTCCATATGGAATTTATGCTTTTCAGAGAATGTCGTTTGGCCTATACAATGCACCCGCCACATTCCAAAGGTGCATGATGGCCATCTTCACAGATATGGTAGAGGAATAATGGAGGTTTTCATGGATGATTTCTCAGTGGTGAGAAACTCTTTTGATGATTGACTTAGAAATCTTAAAAGAGTGTTGTGGAGATGTATGGAGACTAATCTAGTGCTAAACTGGGAAAAATGCCATTTTATGGTACCGGAAGGTATAGTCTTGGGATACCTAGTGTCAAGTAAGGGCATTGAGGTGGACCACGCCAAGATTGATGTAATAGAGAAGCTGCCACCACCCACTTCCGTCAAGACAATAAGAAGTTTCCTTGGTCACATCGGTTTTTATAGGCGGTTCATAAAAGATTTTTCCAAGATTGCTAACCCTTTGTGTAAATTGCTTGAAAAACATTACCCTTTTTGTATTTTCTGATGACTGCGGGGTAGCTTTCGAAGGATTGAAGAAGAGGCTAGTGTCTGCACATATCATAGTTGCACCCGACTGGGAGAAACTATTTGAGCTGATGTGTGATGTAAGTGACCATGCTGTGGGAGCAGTACTTGGACAAAGAAAACATAAAATCATGCATCCAATCTACTATGCAAGTAGAACATTGAATAGCGCTCAACTAAATTACATAGTGACAGAAAAAAGAGATGCTAGCAGTGGTGTTCGCATTTGACAAATTCTGGTCCTACTTGATAGGTTCGAAGGTAATTGTTTATACTGACCATGCTGCTCTCAGGTACCTAATTGATAAAAAGGAAGCAAAGTCGCGCCTGATTCGATGGGTTCTACTCCTACAAGAGTTTGACTTAGAAATTCATGACCGAAAAGGGACAGAAAACCAAGTTGCCGATCACTTGTCCACGCTTGAAGGAGCTGAAACGAAGGTTGAGGTGGAAAATATCACGGATACTTTCCCGGATGAACTGTTAGCCACGAGCCTTGAGGAAGCGCCATGGTATGCAGACATTGCAAACTACCTGGCAAGCGGTATTATTTCCTATGAATTGTCTTCTGTGTAGAAAACAAAGTTCTTTCGTGATTGTCGCATGTATTTCTGGGATGAACCATATTTATTTCGGATTTGTATTGATAACATGATCTGGAGATATATTCCCGAGATAGACCAAGCTTCTGTTTTGCAGGCATGTCATGCTTTGCCTTATGGGGGTCATTTTAGAGGAGTACTGCTAAAGTTTTGGAGTCGGGCTTCTATTGGCCGACGTTGTTTAAAGATGTACATTTTTGGGTAAAGAGCTGTGATGAGTGTCAAAGGACGGGGAATATTTCCCGTCGACATGAGATGCCCATGAACCCAATCCAAGAAGTGGAAGTATTTGATGTATGTGGAATCGACTTTATGGGACCATTTGTTAGCTCATACATCAACAAGTATATACTAGTAGCAGTGGACTATGTTTCAAAAAGGGTAGAAGCTGTAGCACTCCCAACAAATGATGCGAAGGGAGTTATGGCTTTTCTAAGAAAAAATAACTTCACCCGATTTGGAAGTCCAAGTGCGATCATTAGTGATGGAGGAACTCACTTCTGCAACCGAGCCTTCGCAAAGTTGATGGAAATATATGGTGTACACCATAAGGTTGCCACTCCGTATACCCACAAATAAGTGGTCAAGTTGAGGTGTCAAACAGAGAAATCAAGAGTGTTTTGACCAAAACTATAAATGCTACTAGGACTGATTGGGAAAAAAATTGGATGATACACTATGGGCCTACTGCACTGCATTCAAAACTCCGATTGGTATATCACCGTACAAATTGGTGTTCGGAAAGGCATGTCACTTACCGGTGGAGCTAGAACATAGAGTTTTTTGGGCATTATGGCAATTAAATCTTGACATGGAGGTCGTTGGTACAAGTAGAGTCACAAAACTTCATGAACTCGATGAGTTCCGTTACCATGCTTTTGAAAGCACCATGCTGTACAAGGAAAGGATGAAGATCATGCACGACAAGCATATTCAAGAGAGGATTTTCAAACCCGGAGATGTCGTGTTGTTGTATAATTCAAGATTGAAACTATTTTCCGGAAAGCTAAAATCTAGATGGTCGGGACCATTTAGAGTGGTGCAAGTACTCTCAAGTGGAGCCGTAGAAATTGAATCCTAGGATGGAACGAACAAGTTTAGAGTTAATGGGCAAAGGTTGAAACATTACCTTGGCATGAATGAGGAAAATGTTGTATCGGTGATTCATTTGAAGGAGCCTCAATTGTTGAGTGAACCTTAAGTTTGATCGCATGCGTCGTGCCACGACGTTAAATCAGGCGCTCATTGGGAGGCAACCCAATTCGTACTTAATTTTAGCTTAACTATAAATTTTCGTTTGTTTTATGCACTAACAAGTTTTAAATTTAATCTTGGTGTCTGAACAGGTAATGGAGCATGATGGAAATTATGGCGCTTGGAGTTGTTTACAAAACGAAATAAAAATTACATGCATATGCTCCAAACAACACTGCATACCTCGCGACACCCGGTTCAATGCACAACGCACCTGGAAGCAAACCTCGCGTAGCAAACTTTTCATCTTGTGGCACAACTTGCATCGCCTGCTGTCCAGCGTGATTTCAAGCTCGTGTCGCCTAGTCTTTAGCGTGCTATAGAGCTCGCCCATTGAGGGTTATTGCGAGATCAATCTTGAGCAGCCTCGCGTCGCAAGGGAAATAGCGAGAAAAATCCTGGCATTACGCCTCACGTCTCCTTCTTCATAGCTCGTTAATGAGGTCGCGTCGCCTGGTAAGTTTCTCGCTGTGATCTCTCATCGCCAGGAAAGTTTCTTGTTGTGATCTCGCATCGCCGGGTTCTCCGCATGCATTAGAGATAGCCTCGCATGCTCTTTTTCTTGCGTTGCCAGAAATGGTTCTTGCTCGCTATTGGTTTCACTGGCCATTCCGCATTTTCGCTGTAAAAGCTCAGCTTCATAGATCGACATGAACCTCACATCCTACTTTCCAGTGCTTGCTTGGGAGCTTGCCCAGCAAGAGTAGCCTCGCATCGCGCGGGTAATCGCAAGGTCCAGCTCGCGTTTGCTTCGCTTCGCTCGGGTTATCACGAGGTAAGTTTTCATTGCTTTTCAAACTTACCTCGCACCAGACCTCGCCCAGCCAGAAAATCAGCTCGCTATGGACCTCACATCGCATGAGTTGTAGCGAGGTCCACCTCGCGGCAGCCCTAGCGTCGCCAGCATTGCCGTGCGATAAGAAGCTCGCGTCGCCTGCGTCTAAGATTGCTTAGTATTTCGCCTCGCCAGGTAATGTGTTTTAATATTTTTTTAAACTTAGTTTTCTAACTTGTTTATTTTAAAACATCACTTAGTTTTCTAACTTGTTTATATTAAAACATCACTTAGTTTTCTAACTTGTTTATATCACTTTGTTTTCTAACTTATTTATATCACTTTGTTTTCTAACTTATTTATATCACTTTGTTTTCTAACTTCTTTCTGTTAAAACACTACACAAACGCACACACCTCACTCTACACAATACACTACTCGTCCCTTTTCCCTTCCCCTCACATACAAATTTCATTGAAGACCTTCCTCATCATCTCTTTAAATCACTTTGGACCTCATTTGAAGAACACTTTAATCCTCCTAATCATTTAAGGTTTGTTTCTAACTCTTTTCTTTGTCAAGAGTTAAGTAATGCGAATTCAACAACTTGTGGGTATATCGTCATAGCAACAATGTGCTTGCTCGCCCTAATCCCATAAACCCCATAGGATTGGTATTGTTGTTGGGTACAAGGGTGATAACATGAAATTACCAAGCATATTTGGGGAGGGTGAGGCGATCTCTCATCTATACAACCACTTTGACAACACTAGTGCACGCTAAGTGTTTGTTGAAATGCCTCAAAGACATTCTTGGCCCAAATGGAGTTCCTCTCTCCGAGATTGTAATGACTAATGCTTTGTTGCATTGCAACACTCCAAATTGCAAGTTTAGGCGGGATAAATAGTAGCAATATGCATAGCAATTGTGGTAAACACCATTTTGCGATTG